ATAGAGTATAATTATAATATTTATAATAAGAAACTTATAATTATAATATAAGTTTTTAAGAAATAATATTTTAAGCTAGCTAATATCTTTATTAAGAATTTTATTAAAATTATTTTAAATTATAAGAATTTATAATATTTTATATTTTTTAAATAATTTAACTTTCATTAAATAAGATAAATAAAGTTTCTTTTCGAATTTAACTTTTATATTATCTATTACTTAAGAAAATAAAGTATTAAATCTAATAGTCTTATTTAATAAGTAAAAGATCTATCTAAAAATAAGAATAATAATTATATTTATTATTAATATTATATAATTTTTAAAAATAATAATCTTAATAAAGATATTAAGAATATTATATATCTTATTATTATACTTTTAAATAATATAAAAAAAAATATTATCTCTCTAATTATAATATTATATAAATTTAATAAATAAAATAATATTAATAATAAGAAGTCTAATAAAGAATTATTATTAAGAATTTTAATAGAGACTTCTTAAGAGAAGTTCTTAGAAGAATTAAGAGAAGTCTCTACTATTAATACTTCTAAGTTATTATATTAAATAAAAAATATTTATAATTATAATAATATTATTTAAAAAATTATTTAATTAAAGATATCTAAATAGAGAAAGTTATTATTTAAAATAATTAAGAATAATCTTAAGCTAAAATTAGATAATTATTATCTTTATAATAAATTATTATATATTAATAATAGATTATATATATTAAATATTCTCGAATTATAAATTAAAATTATTAGAGATATTTATAACTCTTTATTTAAAGATTATATTAATAGATTATTAATCTATAATAAAATAAGTAGACTTTACTATTAATTAAGAATAACGAATTTTTTATTACCCGCTATATTAAGAGCTATTATATCTATAAAAGATTTAAAACTTATAAAAAGAATAAATAAGATCTACTTAAATTTCTTTTTATTCTTAAATAATATTAATAAGATATTTTTATTAACTTTATTATATTATTATCTATTTATCTTAGATATAAATATTTTTATTAATATATTATAATAATTATAAATAGACTTAATAAGAAGAAGAAATTTATTTTTTTAAACTCTCTAAAAGTAAAGATAGTAGTTTATTTTTTTATCGAATTTATATAGCGAGAGAAAGAATATTTATTTATTATTATCTTCGATCGAGATATTTAATTTATAATATATTTCTAAAAAAGACTATATAAAAGAATTAAAATTAAATTTAAACTCTTTATTATATTTTATTTTAAAATTAATAAATAAATAAAGAACGCTAATATTACTTTAAAGTAATATCTTAAAATTTATATTAATTATAATTAAGATAATTAAATAAATCTATTATTAATAGTAAAGTTCGAAATTAACTTCGATAAGAACGCCTTATTAAATATATTATTATTTCTTTTTATTAAAGAATATATTCCTCGCTTAAAAATAGAATTCTTTATTTTTTAAAATTAATTCGCTAATTAAAGAGCGAAGAGAGATATTAAATTAGCTAATAGATTTATTAAAAAGATAAATATTATAAGAAATTATTTAAGAAGTTAATTTAAATAATTATAAGCTTTATAAAAGAAATAAGCTAATTATTATTAACTTTTAATATTAGAATTTAAAGTTAAAGATATAATTATACTTAATAAAAGAAATATTAAAATTATATATCTTAATAAATTACTAAATTATAAGAATTTCAAATTATTTAAAATTATTAAAGCTTTAAATAATTTCGCTTATAAGTTAGAACTCTTAATTTTTATAAATAATATTTACTCTATCTTTTATTTATAGCTATTATATCTCAATAATAATAACTTATTATTAAAATAGATTAAGCCTTCGCTATCGTTTATCGATATTAATAAAGATAATAAAATCTATAATATTAAAGAAATAGTTTAATTTAAATTAGATAAATAAAAGAATAATTTCTTAACTAGTAAGAGAGAATATCTAATATATAAAATTAGATATAGAGACCTTAAGATCGAGAAAAATCTATTCTAATAATTATTTATAAATATAGTAGAATATTTAAATCTAATAGTAGACTTTTATTATTATTACCTCGAGGCTATTAATCTTTATTTATTATTTAAAAGATCTTTAGAATAATTTTCTTTATTAGCGCTATTAATTTATAGTAGCTATATCGACTTATAAAAAGATCTTAATATTATAATAAAATACTAAGTTAATATATCTAAGAATATTACTTTATATATATCTAGATATACTTTTTATAAGATCGATATCTACTATATAATAGTTATCGTCGAAGCTTTAAATTAAAGAGAGGGGTAATATTACGATTTTAATAATCTTACGATCTTATTTATATTATAGCCTAATTAAACTTAGCGTATTAAGATCTTTTAATCTTTCTATCTTACTATAAAGTCTATACTTATAATAATTCTATATAGATAGTATTCTCTTTATACTATAATATAGAGTTATTATATATATTATTAAGTTTCTAATATTATATATTATTAATATATTTTACTTTATTTAAATATAATAACTTAATATACTATTATTTTAATTAATATTATTTATATTTAAAATATAGTTTTATAAATTAAATAAATTAATATTTAATTATCTTTTAAATAAATTTTTAATATCTATATCTTATTAAAAATAAATAATATACGTTATTTACTAATAGAATAACTTTTTTATTTTCTATTAAAATTTTAAAATTTCTTTTTTAAATTATAGAGCGTTATTTACGCTTTCGAAATTTTTAAAATTTTTAAAGATTTAACTTATAATTATTAATAAGTAAGAAATCTAAATATCGCTTATTAAAGTTTTCATAGCTCTAATTAAATAGTCTTAATTAAAGAATAGATTTATATTTAATTTAATTTAAGAATAAACTTTTTTATTTTCTATTAAAAGATTTTAATTTTTTTTTAAATTATAAAGCGTAATTTAGATATTTTAATTATTTAAGAATTTGAAAATTTAGTCTTATAATTATTTAAAGATAAAGAATTTAAAGATTTCTTATTAAAGTTCGCTTATTAAATTTACTCGATAGCTCTAATTTAAAAAAATAGATTATAAATTTAATTTATAAATCTATACTCGTTAATATATATAAAAGAATAAGATAGAACTAAGCTTAAAAATCTTAAATTTATATATATAGTTAATTATAAATTCGAGTTCGCTACGCTCTTTAATTAAATCGACTAAATTATTACGAATAAATAAATTAACGTTTATAATTATTAAAATCTCTCTTCTCGCGTCTCTCTTATTAAAAAAGTAGATATACGTTATTAATATATAGAATAATTTTTTTATTTTCTATTAAAATTTTAAGATTTTTTTTTTAATTATAAAACTATATTTTAAATATAGAAAGAATTTTTAAATTTAATCTTATAATTATTAAAGCGTAAGAAATTTAAATATCGCTTATTAAAGTTCGCTCGATAGCTCTAATTAAAAAATAGATATATATTATTTAATTTTAGAATAAACCTTTTTATCTTCTATTTAAATTTTAAATTTTAAGATCTTTCTTTTAAATTATAAAATATAATATAGGCTTTTAGATAAAAAAAGAATCTTAAAATTTTAATCTTAAAATTTAATCTTATAGTTCTTTAAAGATAAGGAATTCAAATATCGCTTACTAAAGATTACTTATTAAAGATCGCTTACTATTAAAGATCGCTTATTAAAGATCGCTTATTAAATTTACTCGATAGCTCTAATTAAAAAAAACGATTATAAATTTAATTTATAAATCTTTACTCGTAAATTATATAAAAGAATAAGATAGAATTAAGTTAGAAATTTTTAGATTTAATAGATTTACGCTTTTTAATTAAATATTAAAATATTCTTTTTTTACTTTTAGCTATCTCTTAAATTTAATAATCTTCTATTAAAGTTTATTAGTTTTTTCTAAATTATAATCTATAGCTTACGCTTTTTAATAATAATAGAATTATAAATTTTAATCTTATAATAATTTAAAAATATAGAATTTAAATATTACTTATTAAAGTTCGCTTATTAAATTAAGTCGATATTTTTAAATAAAAAATATTAATATATATTATAGACTTTTAATATTCGATTTTACTATTAAATAGTTACTATTAAAAAATCATTAAATAGCTACTAGTACTTTAAAAGTATCTTACTATTAAATAGTAAATAGCTAAATATTCTTCGAAATATATTCTTTAATTAAATATCGTTTATCTATAGAAGATACGAGTATATAAACGCGATATAAACGAGATATAGATATTTAACTAAGCTAGAGTCGATTTTAGAATATTAAATAGTAACTATTTAAGTATAATAGTAAGTTCTAAAGTTACTATTAACTAGTAGAAAAAAGTTACTATTTCGATAATAAATAATAGAGACTAAGTAGAGCTATAGAGATTAAATAATTACTATTTATAATAGTAATTAGTAACTTTAAAAGTTTCTATTATATAAATTTAATAAAACTTTTTTATTTTCTATTATATTATAAGATACTCGTGTCTTAGGAATACTCATAGGGTTACTAGCGTAGGCTTGGCACCGCACATATCTGCCCTGCAGGCACATAGAATAATCAACAACTTTTACACCACACACATATATGAGTTAAACCATAATGATTCCTTAACAATTGATAGCAACACCTTAAGATTTATTAAGGAATCATTATGGTTTGACTCATATATGTGTGTGGTGTAAAAGTTGTTGCATATATGAGTCAAACCATAATGATTCCTTAACAATTGTCAACGCTCCAAGCCGGCCCTCACATACACTCGTTGGTCATCGAGTACCATTTGACCAAAACCCCACGTCCAAATCGATCCTTTCGATAGGCCTATCGATATCATCATGCCTCATCCTACCCCAAGAGCATAGCAGCAGGAACAGCCAGCCAGCCAATCAGATAATACCTCACTCGCCTCGCTTCAGAAACAAATGACACAAATGATGGAAATGATGAGATCCATGTGTATAAGACTGGAAGCATTGGAAGCTCGATCTAGGCCTACTCAGCCAGCCGCTCAGTCAGCACTACCTACCCTATCAGCTCAGCAAGTCACTCAGCTAGCCACTCAGTCTGATATTCTACAAGAGGAGGAGCAAGAGGAGGAACTGCAGCAGGCAAATGCGGAGAACACTGCGGAGAAAGCAAGCGACAACAAGGCCACCATCAGCAAGAACACGGCTCAGTTCTCCACAATCCCACGTCATATGCTCTCCACGGTTCCACGTCAAATCACCACTCAGCAGGCGGAGAACGACACTACAATTTGGCCTGCTATCTCTGCAAGCCTGGGCAATATCACATTGTGGTATATCACTGCAATGACGACACAAGAGGAGGATCTACTGCGACGATCACAGCCAATTGGGCCTCTGCAGGAGGACATCGGACGATGCATATTTGGACGAATTGAAACCGTCTGATGTCTTGCTCTGATAGCTATTTCGAAAGGTTTCACTGCGGCAGGAGAACTCGTGGGATTCATACCACTAACTGGCCTGGTGTCTCCATTCCTTTCCAGCATTTCGAAAACTCACACATGCATGCATACTTTTTGCCATGAGGACATGGCATTTCTCTGTTTTTTGTGGGCAATTGTCATGAGATGCCTCAGGGATACTCATAGGGCCACCAGCGTAGGCTTGGCACCGCACATATATGCCCTGCAGGCACATAGAATAATCAATAACTTTTACACCACATACATATATGAGTTAAATTATAATAATTTCTTAATATATTAATTAATTAATTTTTTAAATTATAGAGTATAGATTAGATATTCTATTAATCTATAAATTTAAAAATTAATCTTATTATTATTTAAAAAAAAAAAAAATCGCTTATTAAAGTTTACTTATTAAATTTACTTAAAAGTTCTAATTAAAAAAATAGATTATAGATTTATTTTATAGATTTATTTTCTTTTTTATATATATAATTAATTATAAACTCGAATTCGTTATATTTTATTATTAAACTACGAGTAAAGATTTATAAATTAAATTTATAATTTTTTTTTTAATTAGAACTATCGAGTAAATAGATAAGCGATCTTTAATAAGCGAACTTTAGTAAGCGATATTTAAATTCCTTACGCTTTAATAATTATAAGACTATATTTAAGAATTCTTTTTTTATTTAAAAGCTTATATTTCGTTCTATAATTTAAAAAAAAAATCTTAAAATTTTAATAAAAAATAAAGAAGTTATTCTAAAATTAAATAATATATATCTATTTTTTAATTAGAGCTATTCGGCTATTAAGCGAACTTTAATAAGCGATATTTAAATTTCTTACGCTTTAATAATTATAAGATTAAATTTAAGAATTTCTTTTTATTTAAAAGCTTATATTTCGTTTTATAATTTAAAAAAAAATCTTAAAATTTTAATAGAAAATAAAAAAGTTATTCTATATATTAATAATATATATCTATTTTTTTAGTAATTACGAACGCTAATTTATTTACTCGCGATATCTAATTAAAAAGCGTAGATTTATTAAATTTATAATTAACTATATATATAAATTTAAGATTTTTAAACTTAGCTTTATCTTATTCTTTTATATATATTAATATAATCGAGTAAAAAAACGATATAAGAGATAAGATAAGAGATTAGAAATAAAAAGTTATTATAATAAATAAAAGACTTTTATAATAGTATATAATAGTTTAATAAAGAATAATAGAGAGTACTAGTTAAAAAGATATAAGATATTCTATAAGATATTCTATATTAAGTAATATTATATAATACTCGAGTATAATAAAAATAGAGTTAAATATTATATCTTATTTTTAATATAAACTTCGAGATTTTAACGATATATATTATAAGATAACTAGTATATAAAATAGAATAAGATAGAGCTAAGTTAAAAAATTTTAAATTTATATATATAATTAATTATAAATTTAAAGTTACTACGCTTTTTAATTAGATATCGCGAATAAATAAATTAACGTTCGTAATTATTAAAATCTCTTACTTTACTTTTAGTTATTTAATAACTTTACTAATTTCTATTAAAAGTTTAAGATTTTCTAATTTAATTATAGAACGCAATTTACGCTTTTTAATAACGAAAAAACTACGAAATTTAATCTTATAATTATCTAAAGATAAGGAATTTAAATATCTCTTATTAAAGTTTACTCGATAATTCTAATAAAAAAAATAGATATATATTATTTAAATTCGAAATAACTTTTTTATTCTCTATTAAAAATTTTTAAATTTTTATATATATTATAGAGCGTAAATTTCGTATTTTAATAGTTTAAAAATTATAAAATTTAATCTTATTATTATTTCAAGATAAAGAATTTAAATATCGCTTATTAAACTTCGCTTATTAAATTTACTCGATAGCTCTAATTAAAAAATAGATTATTAATTTAATTTATAGATTTAAACTCGTATAATTATAATATTATAGTATAAAATAATATATATATAATATATCTCGATTAAGATTTCTATATTTAGAAGTATAAGTAATTATTCTAATTATTATTCTAATTAATAATCTCTTTAGTTAAGACTAGATTTTAAATATAATTAATATATATAATAGAATAAGATAGAGTTAAGCTTAAAAATCTTAAATATATATATAAAGCTAATTATAAACTTAAAATTACTACGCTCTTTAATTAGATTAATTAAGTTATCGCGAATAAATAAATTAGCGTCTATAATTATTAAAATCCCTTCCACTTCCGCGTCTCTCTTATTAAAAAAATAGATATATATTATTAATATATAGAATAACTTTTTTATCTTCTATTAAAATTTTAAGATTTTTTTTTAAATTATAGAATAAAATATAGGCTTTTAAATAAAAAAAGAATTTTTAAATTTAATTTTATAATTATTAAAGCGTAAGGAATTTAAATATCGCTTATTAAAGTTCGCTCGATAGTCGAATAGCTCGCTTATTAAAGTTCGCTTATTAAAGATCGCTTATCTATTTACTTAATAGTTCTAATTAAAAAAAAATTATAAATTTAATTTATAAATCTTTACTCGTTAAGATATATAAGAATTATATTTTAATAGTAGTTATAATAATAATAGCTATAAAAGTAATAGCTATAGTAGTAATAGTATTAATAACTTAGTAAAAAAGTATAATTCCGAGAGTGTTTATACTTAATAGTTAGATATCTCTATTTAAATCTAAATAAAGTCTTATAAAGCTCTCGTAAAGACGTTATAAAGCTCTCGTAAGAGCTATTACTAATAAATAATTATCGAAATTTAATCTCTATACTTTCTAGCTATTATATTAATTAGATATTTAATTTTATATTATATTTAAATACTAATCTCGAAGAAATTTAAAGAATTAATCTATTTATTCTATATATTATATATTTAATATTTAGATAATAGTTATAATAATAATTTTTTAATTTTATTATAATAATAATACATATAACGAGTAAAGATTTATAAATTAAATTTATAATCGTTTTTTTTTAATTAGAGCTATCGAGTAAATTTAATAAGCGATCTTTAATAAGCGATCTTTAATAAGCGATATTTAAATTTCTTATCTTTAAATATCTATAAGACTAAATTTAGTAATTCTTTTTTTATCTAAAAGCTTATATTATATTCTATAATTTAAAAAAAAATCTTAAAATTTTAATAGAAAATAAAAAAGTTATTTTAAAATTAAATAATATATATCTATTTTTTTATTAGAACTATCGAGTAAACTTTAATAAGCGATATTTAAATTTCTTACGCTTTAATAATTATAGAATTAAATTTTAAAATTTTTCATTTATTAAAAAGCGTAAGTTTCGAGCTATAATTTAAAAAAAAATCTTAAAATTTTAATAGAAAATAGTAAAGTTATTAAAGAATTAAAAATAGAGAAAGAGATTTTTAATAGTTACGAACGCTAATTTATTTATTTATAATAAATTAGTCGATCTAATTAAAGAGCGTAGTAAACTTAAATTTATAATTAACTATATATATAAATTTAAGATATCTAAGCTTAACTCTATTTTATTCTATTATATATATTAATTATTATAAATTCTATTAAAATATTAGATATATAATATATAGAACGAATAAATTAATTCTCTAAAATCTCTTCGAGATTAGATTTTAAATATAGTATAAAATTAGATAATTAAAAAATACGATAGTTAAAATATATAAGAATTATATTTTAATAATAGCTATAATAGAAGTAGCTATAATAAAAGTAATTATAATAAAGTTTATAATAAAAGTAATTATAATAGAAATAGTTATAATAGAAATAGTTATAATAGTAGTAACTATAATAGTAATAGCTATTTTATTAAATTTATCGAATAAATATAAATAAGAATAGATATAATTAGTCGTTAACTAGAATAATAACTAGAATAATTACTTATTACTTTTAAATATAGAAATTCTAATCGAGATATCTTATAGTATATATATTAATTTATAATATAATATTATAAATATATTATCTTATAATATATATCGTTAAGATTTTATATTATATTAATATATATAAAAGAATAAGATAGAATTAAATTAGAAAATCTTAAATTTATATATATAGTTAATTATAAATTCGTTAGATCTACGCTTTTTAATTAAATATTACGAGTAAATAAATTAGCGTTTATAATTATTAAAATCTCGTTCTTTCGCGTCTCTCTTATTAAAAAAATAGATGTATATTATTAATATATAGAATAACTTTTTTATTTTCTATTAAAATTTTGAGATTTTTCTTTTTAATTTTAAAACGCTATTTGCGCTTTCCAAATTTTTATAAATTTTTAAGAATTTTGAAATTTAGTCTTATAATTATTAAAGCGTAAGGAATTTAAATATCGCTTATTAAAGTTCGCTCGATAGTCGAATAGCTCTAATTAGATATATATTATTTAATTTTAAAATAACTTTTTCATTTTCTATTAAGATTTTAAGATTTTTTTTTCAATTATAAAATAAAATATAAGCTTTCGAAAAAAAAAGAATTATTAAATTTAGTTCTATAATTATTAAAGTGTAAGAAATTCAAATATCGCTTATTAAAGTTCGCTTATTAAAGATCGCTTATCTACTTACTCGATAGTTCTAATTAAAAAAAAAATTATAAATTTAATTTATAGACCTTTACTCGTTAAATATAATAGAATATAAATATAAATATTTTATATCTTATTAGAATTAATATATATAAAAGAATAAGATAGAGTTAAATTATAAAATCGTAAATTTATATATATAATAAATAATAAATTTATTAAATCTACGCTTTTTAATTAGATTAATTAAATTATTATAAATAAACGAGTAAAGATTTATAAATTAAATTTATAATTTTTTTTTTAATTAGAATTATCGAGTAAATAGATAAGCGAACTTTAATAAGCGATATTTGAATTCCTTACGCTTTAATAATTATAAGATAAATTTTTAAAAATCTTTAAAATTCGAAAAACGTAAATAGCGCTTTAAAATTTAAAAAAAAAAAAATTAATAGAAAATAAAAATGTTATTACTATTATAAATAACGTATATTTATAATTTAATAAGAGAGGCGCGAAAGAGCGAGATTTTAATAGTTATAAACGTTAATTTATTTATTTATAATAATTTAACTAGTCTAATTAAAGAGCGTAATAATTCTAAATTTATAATTAATTATATATATAAATTTAAGATTTTTAAGCTTAGCTCTATCTTATTCTTTTATATATACTAATTAATTAATATCTATAATTATTAAAATCTCTTACTATACTTTTAATTCTTTAATAATATTATTATTTTTAATTAAAAATTTAAAATTAAAATTATAAACTATAAAGCGAAGATTACGCTTTTTAATAACGTAAAAGTTTTAAAATTTAATCTTATAATTATTAAAGAATAAGAATTTTAAATATTATTTATTAAAGTTCGCTTATTAAGTTCGCTCGATAGTCTTAATTAAAAAATAGATATATATTATTTAATTTTAAAATTAACTTTCTTATTTTTTCTATTAAAATTTTAAGATTTTTCTTTTTAATTATAGAATATAATATAGTCTTTTAAATAAAAAAAGAATCTTAAGATTTAATCTTATAGTTATTTAAAGATAAGAAATTTAAATATCGCTTATTAAAGATTACTTATTAAAGATCGCTTATTAAAGATCGCTTATTAAAGATCGCTTATTAAAGATCGTAGTAGTTACTAGTTAAAAAGATATAATATATTTATATATTCTATATTAAGTAATATTATATCGTACTCGAATATAATATAAATAGAATTAGATATTATTTTATTTTTTTAATATAAGTTCGAGATCTTAATAATATATACTACGAAATAATATATTTATAATATTATATTATAAAATAATATATTTTCTATATTTAAAAATATAAGTAGCTATTCTAGTTATTATTCTAGTTAATAATTATCTTTATTTATATTTATTTAATAAATTAATTATAATAGCTATAGCTATTATATTATGCTATTATTATTAATATATATAATAGAATAAGATAGAGCTAAGTTTAAAAATCTTAAATTTATATATATAGCTAATTATTAATTTAAGTTCTATACGCTTTTTAATTAAATTAACTAAGTTAGCTCGATAGCCCTTTTATATCTCTCTTACTAAAAATTTATATATAGAAGTTTTATACTTTAAAGTACTTAGCTTACGATATATATAGTTACTTTATAATTTCTTAAATTATAAAGCTCGTTTTACGCTTTCTAACGCTATAAAAATAATAAAGTTTAATCTACTATTAATAGATTAAATAAATATTTAAATATAATAGTTATAATAGTTATATTAGACGCGTTTAGAATCGAATAATAATTCTTTCATCTATTTATATAATTATTCTTCTTTTATAATTCTATTAATTTACTAATTATAAATAAATTAATTTCTTCGATATCTCTCGTCTAAATATTACTAAGTATCTAAAATATATATTCTTCTCTTTACTCGTCTTTTAAATCTCTTATTAACGATAATCGTAGGCCGTAAGCGAGTTTAATAGCTATTTACTACTACTTATAAACGCGTTAAAAGACTCTTAAAAAGAGCTTAAATAAATATATTCTTCTCTATATACTTCTCTTAAGTTAGCGATAAATAAATTAAATTAATATTTAAATATTATAGTTATATTAAACGCGTTTAATTTAAATATATATATCTCTTTTACTTATCTTTTAAAGTCTCTACTAATACTTCTAGATTATCTTTTAACGAGTTAATTATTACTAGTAATTAAGATCGTAAGTAAGTTTAATAGCTATCTACTACTATTTATAAACGCGTTAAAAAACTCTTAAAAAGAGCTCGAACGAATATATTCTTCTCTATATACTTCTTTTAAGTTAGCGATAGATAGATTAAATTAATATTTAAATATTATAGTTATATTAAACGCGTTCGAGATCGAATAATAATTCTTTTATCTATTTATATAATTATTCTTCTTTTTTATTAATTCTATTAATTCTATTAATTCTATTAATTTTATTAATTTTATTAATTTTATTAATTCTATTAATTCTATTAATATAAATATATTTACTCTCGATACTCTCGCACTTAGTTAAATAAGAGAAGAATCTATAATAAATAAATATAAAGAATATTACGAAGAATATTACGAAGATAATTATTAGTAGTAATAATATAATAAACTTACTCTTTATAATCTTATATTAATCTATTTAATTAATATAAGAGAAGTTAATATAATAGATAAATACGAAGAATACTATAAAGAAATTAAGCGGTAATAAGATTCTTAGTATTAAAAATACGACTTAGCTCTTTAAGATTCTACGTTATATACTCTCTATAATTTTATATTAAATTATTACTTAGTAAGCGAAGAATATTATTATAATTTAATTTATTATCTCTATTATATTAAGAAGTAAGAGAAGAAATTATAATAGATAAATATAAAGAATATTATAAAGAATACTATAGAGAATACTACGAAGAAATTAAGCGATAATAAGATTATTATTATTAAGAATACGGCTTAACTCTCTAAGATTTCACGTTATATACTCTCTATAATTCTATATTAAATTATTACTTAGTAAGCGAAGAATACTACTATAACTTAGTTTATTATTCTTACTATATTAAGAAGTAAGAGAAGAAATTATAATAGATAAATACGGAGAATATTACGAAGAATACTATAAAGAATACTATAAAGAAATTAAGTAGTAATAAAGTTATTATCGTTAAGAATACGGCTTAGCTCTTTAAGATTTCACGTTATATACTCTCTACGATTTTATATTAAATTATTACTTAATAAGCGAAGAATACTACTATAATTTAATTTATTATTTCTATTATATTAATATAGTATATTACTACGATCTCTATAGAAGAAATATCGAATAATATATATTTAGACGAATTAAAATCGTTCGATATCTTACTCTAATAGCTATTTTATTATTCGAAAGATTTTACTACGATAGAAGATAATATAGAATTTACACCACTAATTAGCATATTATCTTTATTTCTTTTCGATATTTCGATACTTATTATAAGAATATAATCTTTCTCTATTATTTATAGATAATTACTACGAATTAATTCTTTATACTCGATATATCTTTCTAATTAAGTCTTAGCGCGTCTCTCTTCGTATATATATATTTATATATAGATTAAAAACGTATAGTAAGCGATTAGAGTTCGATTTAACTTAGAACTAGAACTAAAATTCGATTTAACTTAGAAAAATTTAACTTTATTTAACTTAGAAAAATGAAAAATTTAACTCTATAAATTTAATTTATAGATCTTTACTTATTATAACTATTATTATTATAATTACTATTATTATAATTATTATTATTATAACTTATTAATATATATAATAGAATAAGATAGAGCTAAGCTTGAAAATTTTAAATTTATATATATAATTAATTATAAATTTAATAATTTTAATTAAAAAAAAAAAATTATTTAAAAAAAAAAAAAAAAAAAAAAAAATTTTTTTTTTTTAAAAATTTAAAAATTTTTTTTAAATTAAAAAAAAAAAAAAAAATTAAAAAAAAAAAAAAAAAAAAAAAAAAATTAAAAAATAAAAAAAAAAAAAAAAAAAAAAAAAAAAAAAAAAAAAAAAAAAAAAAAAAAAAAAAAAAAAAAAAAAAAAAAAAAAAAAAAATTTTTTAAAAAAAAAAAAAAAATAAAAAATAAAAAAAAAAAAAAAAAAAAAAAAAAAAAAAAAAAAAAAAAAAATAAAAAAAATAAAAAAAAAAAAAAAAAAAAAAAAAAAAAAAAAAAAAAAAAAAAAAAAAAAAAAAAAAAAAAAAAAAAAAAAAAAAAAAAAAAAAAAAAAAAAAAAAAAAAAAAAAAAAAAAAAAAAAAAAAAAAAAAAAAAAAAAAAAAAAAAAAAAAAAATAAAAAAAATTATAAAGTAATCTATAATTATTCTTTATAGTTTAAATAAATACGTATATAAATAATTAATTAATAGAATAATAGATTTATTATAATTAAGTAATATAAGTAATTAAGAAAGAAAGAAAAGAGATTTAATAGAGAATTCTTTTATAGATAATTTTTATATAGATAATTTATTAGAGAAAATAATAAATAATATACTATCTAAATCTTTATAATAAGCTTTTAAAAGTATTTAAAAATTATTAATAAGAATTAAATAAGAATAAATAGATAAAGATATAAATAGAAAAAAATTATTTAATATTAGAAAAAAGAGTAAAAATCTCTTAAATCTCTTTTTATAATAAGAGGAATAAGAATAAGAAGTAAAAAATAGAAGGAAGATTATCTATCTCAGGCTCTTTCAATGTAGCAGTCTCGGCTATTTTGCTATATGTGTACTCCGCCCCACTAGCCCCCATTCGAGCTGTGGCGATTTGTATCTCGGCGCTAACCCGTGAGTGGCGGAAATCCCATGCACGCAGCCGCTGTCGTCCAACTCCGCCCGCTTGTGAGGTTTGCTCTCTGATACATACTTTACTTGTTTGTTATCCAGCAGTGCTCGCTAATCCATAGGCTCCGAAAGATTGTTCCAGGAGATTCCTAGGCATCTAAGCCTCGCTATGTTCTGTAATTGGGCCTTTGTTCATAGCAGCTGCGCCATCCTAACTCAGCCTTGTCTGACATCTTTGCTTGCAATAAATTTCGCGGACCTGGCCCAGCTGGGGAACTCTTTTCATTAGGCATGACTCCAATACCCAATGGTCTTTCGATTGGGGATTACCAGGAACGCTTGAGTCGCTACAAGGACGCTGAAAATGAGAAGAATGCGATGATCAGTGTAAGCTGCCATAAACCTCTGATTTTCTTTGTTCAGCTCACCAAGTGTGATGGTAGGAGCTCATCGACAATTTGGACAAAGCTCGATCAGAATACAGACAAACGGTTTTAGATCTGGAGAGTGAGCGTGTTGGGCGCCGCAGACTCCAAGATCGTGTAGCGGAGCTTGAGACCTTGACGGTAACTTTTTCTCAATACAAAATCAACTTGTGCTGACGACTAATCCAGCGTTCGCAGAATGGTCGAGGTTTTGTGGTGGTGTTGATTGATGCCGATGCTGATGATTACATCGTGGGCTGCCTCTTCCTATGTCTCACACGATAACGCTTCAGAGAGAACCTGGCTAACAGCTTGATTCGATCTAGTTCCAGCAGAGGTTTTTGAACAGGAACGAGGCAGGTGGTAGGGATGCCGCGGATGAGTTGCAAGCCAGAGTCAAGGATTACTTGAGAACAATTCAAATTGATGTTGAGAACACTGAAATCGTCGTTCGGGCGTATGCAGATGTTAAGAGTCTGCACGGAGCCTGCATCAAGAACGGCAAGATGAAGAACGGTGCCAGTCTTAGCCTGTTTGTCCATGGCTTCAACCAGCGCCAAGGTTTGTTCGACTTTGTCGACGTTGGTCCTGGAAAGGAAAGCGCTGATAATAAGCTTCGAGGTATGTGCGCACCAGAAAAATTAGGTGTACGCTGAGCTGATGAAATTTCACAGAGTGTCTCGATTTCTTTATTGGTAATCGGCAATGCAAGCACATCATATTTGGCGCCTGCCACGACTCTGGTTATGCTCCGTACCTCGGCAGGTTTGCGGCCGAAGTTTCCGTCCGTGATCGCATCACCTTGTTGCAAGGTGTTGCTATCCATCCCAGAATCGCTGCGTTGGGCTTCCAGAGAATCCTGAAGCTTGACCAGGTTTTCAATCCACACATGCTATGCACCGTTCCAGTTTCATCCTCTAAGTCGTCGCCGCCAGCGCGAGCAACTTCGTCGACCTTGCCGACTCGGCCTCTAACAGCAGCAACGGGTTTCTCCAATGCTGCTGCACTGTCCCACAGGCTTGGGCCTGTCATACGCAACGAAAATAGAAAGCGTATTGACAAGATGTTGGATGTCGACATCACTTCTCCATACCTAGGCATTATTCGCCAGTCAAAGTTGTGTCCATGGTTTTACCTGCGTGGCAGGTGTGAAGGGTGCGATGGAAACCATCGTGTTCCTCCTCTCAATGCTAGAGAGAGTGACTACCTGTGGTATCATGCTCGCTATGGACTTTGCCACAAGATTCGTAAAGGCAAGGACTGCGATGACCCGAGGTGCGTCTACGGACATGAGGAAGGTCATCGGATTGGCTCTGGAAAGGTTTCAGGCTAGTGAAGGCTTCTGCTGTTTTCTCGAAGGGTTTACTCGGGCTCTCAATTTTTCAAACAGTTGCCTTGAAGCGGTCCAGAATGAGGCTATAAACACAGTCTGCGGTTGGTTCAAATGTTAACCGTTCAACTGGTTACTGGATTGTTCCACCTAAGAGTTCAGACTAAACGAACTTATCAAAAATGATAAATCCTGCAGCGAGTATTAGAGTAACACAGACCTCTAACAGCTCATAGACGGTTTATGAAAATTGATACTGGATCTGCAAGCATTATTATCCAACTTTCACTATTCTCTTTAATTAATATTCTAATAATAGTATTAGTATTAGATGTAGATTCCGTCTATCTATAATTATAATCTATCGATAGTACTTTTACTGCCTTAGTACGGTGTGCGCGTTTGCAGGCACGCCCATAAGGTACCTGATGCGCAAGCATGGCATGAAAGCGGTCATCCGATCTACGATGTTAGGTGTCGTATAACGTCCGATCAATACACTAGCAGCGCGGATTGTCTGCAGATGTAAAGAGCCTTTGACTACCTTAGTCATTGGGTGTCCGGAACACCGAAAGCGTTGTATGCATCCTTCTTCACACTTGAATAACGGCTTATCTCTTTCTCTCGGGGGCTCCCCCTGATATCATAGCTAACTTATGCATTAACATCTTGACTGGACCATATCGCGAAGAAGACTATTTCTGTATCGTTCACTAGCTGGCCCACCAACGAAAGCCTCCCAACAGCGCTATAGAAAGCAGTTCAGTGGCCCTCTGGTGCCAAGCGGCACATCCACAATCCAGCTCTTAGCATCCTGGACATGAATCCCTACACACTTGTCGAAGGTGCAAAACGATATGAGAAGGATGATGAGATATGTAGGTCCTACGCTCTACCACAGACGACGCCGACGACAAAGGAGCGGCTAGCTGGACCAGATGGTCTAGCTCGCAACAATGCTCAAAGAAGGTCTCCACCACAGGCCAGACTTTGATCATGATTCCCACGGCGGTTGTGTCTTGATATGAGCCGTCTTCTACACTCTTCATGATTCTCCCATTGAATACTCTTCGAGCCACGCGAGAACTTGAAGACGAAGTATCTCGACGCTCGGCAAAAGCTCGAATCAAACAGCTCAAGAGGTGGTTTATATCCAGGAACACTATCGTACCGCAACAACTCCAGATATCCTGGTATTCCACGATGAGCGCTAATTCACGTTTTTGGTAAAATCTGGGTGTCACTGTCGCTAGAGGAGGGGACGGTCATCGGAGCAGTAATGTTGTAAAATGCTTGTGTTACGGTTTCGGTCCTTAGACGGAGTACCAGTAGATATATGTCTGGGTCATACTATTCTATCACTTACCACCTCTGCCGCTCACACCTCACATCAATAACATTCCGTGCCCATTCCAAGGTTCTGATCAGATCAACACCACTCCTCACGCATCCATAATCTTGATCCGCATGTACTCCACGGCTTTTATTCCAGAAACTCCCAGGCACCACGTATCCCCAACATCCTCCCAGTATTCTGCAGCGTTCTCCGACATCTTCTGGGATACTGGCCAGAATGGGCTGAACGTGACAGGTTCCTTAGCCGAGATCAAGATGTCCCGTGTGAACGATGGCGCTTCTTCGGGGTACTTCTCCGGGTCTTGGTCGTAGAAAGTCACTTGGACCTTGAGCTTTGGGTTACGGACGACGACGCAATCGTGGAAGATTTGCGGAGGACTGTCTGTGCCATAGCTGAGGTAGTCGGATTCCAAGGCCAGTCGTACGCGAGGGAGAATTCCACTCATCTTTTGTTCTGTTGGCGAGTAATGAGGAAAATATTGTAAGCTGCTTTGCGGATGGGTGGTTTTTGGGGAATCAGATCAATCTAATCTCTGACCGCCTAGCAGGGCTCAGATGAACGTTTGTAAAGGAGGGGACATAGAGCGTGTCGTCAATCACGAGACATGGTCCACATTTATAGAAATGATTTTTCAACTTTTCCAGGGAACGCGACCAATCCACGAAGATTCCAAGTAAATTGAGGAATGTCACGGATCGCTTCTTCTAAATGGAGCCCCGATGTCGAAGATGACTGGTTCTGAGCGTGACGATATTTTCGCTCTCATTGGTTATCGGGAAACGTCTCCTCGGGTCATATGTCAGGCAAGCCGTGCGTGTGGGAGGTCCGCCGCCCGTGCTCCTTGCCTTCGGCGTCCCCAATAGCTGACCCTCTTCCAATTCTGATCTGTTCCTCGTTTACAGAGCTTTTACCCAAGCTTGCACATCACCAATAGAAACACTGATCATCGCGCAATAGTAATTCCTCAATGGAGAAGGATGTAAACTGTTGCTTGGCTCTAGCAACACCTATCTAGCCTCGTATGTAGAAATCAATGAACCCGTTTCGTCTCACTTGCTTTGCACCGCTTGCTATTCCCAGACAACTCCCACCATGTTCTAATGTTGACTATCATCCATCCCTCCGTAATGTCGTAATGTTGAAAGCCACCCATCTCTCCACCCAGTGCTAATATTGAATAGAACCAGCTGGTCTGGGAGTTTAGTCCCTATCCCAGATACAGTATCCAACCTTCCTCATCCATTTCTCCCCCCAATAGGCATCATTTTCCCCAGTGTCGTCAGACACAGGGGTCTTGGCAAGCCAGCCTTTAGTCGGCAGCTCCATGCCTGGAGTATCCGACCAGGCTGTGCGTGGCTTCCAGGACGCATTAAGATCGCTGGCAACAGAACCGTATCGGTCCGCGCACTTTTCGAAGGGCACAAAGAACTCAGCAAGACGATAATGGGGCTCGCAGTGTTTGTCTATCAGTGCCTGGTATCCCACCTGCCGGTCGTCGTAGATTCGTCGAAGTAGGCCTAAACCCTGGCTCGTGAACCAGACCATGTGGTTGTCGAACTCATCAACCACCTCGTCGTGATCTCTATGTCGATCTCGGCCATGGTTCCTGTCTCCCCCACGCCCATACCAGGATTCGTAGGCTTGATCGTAGCGCAAAGTCATGTATTTGTGGAAGTAGGCATGCCTAGCGGAACCTCGGAGTCAACATGCCCTGTTCACAGCACAATAATGAGCAATTCAACCAGGTTGGCGACCACAGTAAGGCAAGAGTACCCTTTCTGCTCTCAATATATGCCTGAAATCCCAGATGTTGCGTGAATAAACAACTTTTTGCGTTGAAAGCCACATACCTCACAAGATCATACATGAACTGCGTGATGACAGCCAGCTCGCCTACCTCCCACGGGTTAACGTACTCCTTAAGGAAGATGACCTGGTCCTCGCGGAAGGCTCGTCGTCTGCTGGACTCTGGTATTGGGTTGGAACGGCGCGGGTGCAAACGTGTGTCAAAGTATCTATCGGGTCTTAGGTAGAATAGGGCACAAAAGACCTCATAACGTAGGAGAGCGCGCTTTATTCGGTACATTTCTCGGTCATTCAGAGGAAGAGCGATTTCTTGGGGTGCAGCTTCAGTAGTTGACAGGCCAGGAACATCCCATTCGGTGTCGTCTGGTACGTCAGACCATTCCGTCTGCTGGAGTAAGGGGTGTGTGTTGGACCACTGCATCACGTCGTAGTAACTGAGTCCCCCTCGTGATGCTACCACCGTTTTGTAGTCGGTGAAGTTGTCCACACAATTCTTCTGGATCACTTCTGTGAAGACATCGATGGCGCTGAAAGTGCGAGCGAGCTTTTTGATTATTTCAAAAGGATTCTTCTAATGAGAGTTCCGAGTCAGCGTGCTCTATCTGTAACACAAATGTGAGTTGTGAAACATGTTTAGGAAGAACTGTGATAGAAAAATGCCGCTCTGTTATCACAAAATCGAGTGGTAGTACATGATTAAACGAGCCTATTGATGGAGGAAGCCCTTCCGTGCCCTGAGCCGTGTTTGGGCTCAGGATGAAGCCTTGGAGTTTAAGGGGACGGTTCCGAAAGTACATACTTTGAGCCGCTCCGTCAACGGCCTCGGCCCCATGCCTAGCCAAGTCTCCATGAGCGCCTTAATCGACTCCAAATTGCTGATCTGCGAGTCATTAATTCCAATGAGGGCAACGGTCAGATACCGCAGCTCTTGAGGCAATCTTCTCAGCATCACCTTGACGATGCCTTGAGAATGTCGTTCGAAAGCACACTTCGCTGTCTTACACGAAGCAACAAAAGAGAACAGCGTAGGGAAGTCTGGACAACTCAGCATCAGCTCGTCGAGAATATCCGCGTTTTTCATGATTGCGACGAGGATGCTGTATGGCATAGTAATTTCGAGGTCCTTCTTAGTAGCCCTTGGCTGGAGTGCTTTCGAACCGATGGCAGCCACATCTGACCATTGTACATGGATATCAGGACCAGATGTAGGCAATGCTGAAGACATTGCGTTGCGTCGGGTGACACTCTTCTCCTGCGACGTGACAACAGTCGAATTGTAGATTTCAGGTGATGTAGAAGTAGATGGCTGCGATGCTGAGGTGGTAGCGGCGGACGAGCCTAAAGCTTTGACATCAGTGTCATGCTCATCTCTGAGGTTTGGCTTGTCATCCTCGGTAGCTGGAGATGTTGTGGGCTTCACATCCAACGAAGCGATTTTTGGAGGTAACGGCTCTCTTGAGCCAAAGGCGCATTCAGTAATGGTGCAGCGTTCACACATGGTTGATATGGTTCGGTGTCGTCAGTTCCACAGACATAGAATGTATAGTTCACACGCTCTGAGGACGACGGAAGGTAATGGATCGTGAAGGTATAGGTGAAGAAAAGTTGGGTGTCACCAAGTCGTGGATGACCTGAGGAGGGTGTTCAAGGCTCTGGGATCATGGAAGATAGAATTCCAAGAGTTTTCAAATAACACATCCAGCTCATCATTCACCAAGTCGAGTCTCATTCCTGTTCAACCAAGGAGAGAGCAAAAGCTAGCTGTGTTGAAGATCTTTAGCCACTAGGAAGCTTTCTGGCGACCTTTGATCACGTGGTTTTAATACGATTAAGCTCTCTACTACCGCTCACCGACGGAGATAACGATTGTGGCATATTGCATCAGATGATTCTCAGATAGGAGAGTACCTATAGACGGGAATTATGTCCTACCTGTCCGATGACAAGGATTTCTACATCCTAGACACTTGCCTGGCGCTCGGCCATGGTCGGGTGGTTGACTCTTACCAGGTGGCTAAAAGTCGCGCCCCTGGAAGTGGTACAAAAAAGTGTGAAAATTTGATTTTTTGAAGCTGCAAGGACTTAGTCAATCAATAGTTAAGACAAACGTGAATAACGATGAAAGACCTCGTTCGCTATGGCGATACACAGCGACCAGCGACATCTAAGACCAAACAGAATCCCTACGCTCCGCACATCTCACGACTCTGCAAGATGACGTGGGAGCATCAGGAGTTCACGAATCAACGTGAAGCGGAGCGGGGGAATAAGGACTTCTGACAGCCTCGGCTGGAGATCAAACGTGCTCAAACGAAAGCCGAAGGTCACCGCCGAGGATGGCCAGCAGCTACGTCTAGCGATCCTTAAAAAGCACCGGACTTCAGCTGAGGCAGCTTATCCAGCCCTTCCGCAAGCATATCTTACCCTCTTGACACCGAAACCTCAGATACGCCTGCTAAACCAGCCGCGTCCGGTTCGAATCCATAGCGTTGTTTGATCCCGAACACAAGCTTGGCAGTGTATGTAAGAGGATAGGGCGAAAGTCATGCATAGAGGGGTATTTAGGCGGCAAGAAATTCTTAATAGTCCGTCGGGTGCATACCGGGCGCAGCAACAACTTGAGTTGAAAATGTCTCTGGCCACACAATCAAGTTCGGACGAACAACTCCCCTTCAATGCATGGCTTCGCATCATTTCCTACCATCTCCAATATTTATGAGGGGATTAATAGGATCGAATGAGCGTCCTGTTATCTGGTCAATGGGACACAGAATTGCAGGAAAGTTCCCTGAAAAGACTGTGATTAAGAGCATTGCACCATGTCGAAGATCTCCAGCGAGAAACAGTATAGCGCAATTGCGAATGGAAATGATAAAGACTGCAGCACTTAGCAATAGTCCGGGATGCATAGACCAATGAAGAGCAGGAGCTCAAGTCCGATGACCCAGAAAGTGCAATATTGAACATTTGAATATGGAACCCTTATATAAGCTCCTTCTGCATTGCCCCGACAAAGAGAAAACGTGGCGCTAAGAGCCCAATCGAGATGTGATGGAAAGTAGGGAGGGATGGCTTTGGGGGTGGACGACGTTCGGGAACCAGTCCCATCAATGTGGCAAAGGATAGATTATGATCGTGTCAAGGAAAGCAGATGAGCGTGTAAATAACGTCTCGGTTGTGAACTTTGCACCATAAGCCAAAGTCCGGTTCGAGCTTCAGATCCAAAACTTTCGCCGACATGTTCGTTAGCATCATCGTCTGGTAATTCCGCACTTGACTGCACCTTCCCCAACAGTTTCGGTCGGATCACGATCGACTGCTACTGCGTTCGTGCGTGGTTTAGCAAGAGGCTCTCTAGTCCTGACTTGATAAGAGTGAAAGGATTGGAGAGGTCTACATCAGTCAGCATCAATACATTGAGGATGTTGTCGTTGTTCAAAATAGCAGTGGGTATGCTCCATGACATAGTAATAGGCCCCGTCTTGGTCGCGCCCCGGGGGGTCTGCATGTGCACAGTGCTCGGGCCGCTTCAACAGAATCTTACTTGCGGAGGCGCAGATCCCGAAGAAACTAGCGTGGTCGTGGAAGGCATAGTAGACTTCGGATGAGCCGAACAGCTTTTGCGAGAAGACCGTGTAATAGATGGAGGTGTAGTGGTAGTATGGTCCGTGGCAATTGAGGGTGTCACTTTCTGCAACCTAATGGGCGCCGAGTCACAATTCTCGGAGAATGCGAAGCCATGTTACTGCGTCACTGAAAGGGTGACATCAGGTTCCCTCCTGTGGAACAAACGGTATTAGGTGGTGTTTTGCAAGACAGGCCTCAAGATAGCAAAACGGTTCGAGAGCCCAAGGAGTGGCCATGCTAGAAGAGGCACCTACTAGTGGAAAATTAGCACTGCCTGAATCGTTTGATGCAGGATGAAGCACGCCGGTGCTCGATTTGCGTACAACCGGAGCAGAAGAAGGCGGGGTCTGAGTTGAGAGTTTCTCAGGTACTAGGAGATTGTATACTGACCATTATGTAAAGTCTGATGACAGTCTCTATTGCTATTGGAGATTGACGATAGCGATTAATGCAGATGTTCATGTTATATATAAAGTACGAATCTTTTCCGAGCAAAGTATACCGAAAGCAAAAGACGTCCCGTCTCTACGCTATTGTACAGTTTCAATTCCAGGTCTGTACAGGACATGTTTGAACCTATACCTTCCTTAAGTCCGAGTGGACCACGCTAGTAGGGTTCTGAGGATAGGGCTATTAATTGGTCGAATTCAACGTCTAACGCAAATCCCATCACCATTTACTATATTCCTCACCAAAAGTTATTAAAAATTAAGCAGAACCTCTAGGTATTAAATTATTAAAAAAAAATCGAACGGAGGTAAGGCAAATAGTGCTCTATGAATATACTCTCTATATATTACATACATAGAGGGCTAAATCGTATTAGAAACATCTTATTCTATAACTTATCGATAGATCTTAGCACGCGAGACTAATTTAGTAGAGTATAGTAAGATAATAGAATATAGTAAGACGGAGGTTTATATAGCTCTAGAATTATCTCTTATTAGTCTATACTATCTATAATAACTCTAAGTAATACTATAGAGAAAGAGAAAGAAGATAGAGATAGTCGATAATTGATAGAAAGAAGATAAAGATAAGAAGGTGGCTTGATAGGCGGTAGGGAGTTGAAATATAAAAAAAAGTATAATTATATAGCTATTAAATGAGCTTGAAAACAGCTATATTCGAAGAATAATCGAACCGTATACTAATTTTATAAGTAGTTCTATGTGACTATATATACTTACTACGACTATAAGCTTACTTTATAACTATACTTATCTATATTATCGCTTTTAATAATTCTTATCTTTCGCTATATATAGAGCGACTTAATAGCTCGTATAGCTATATAAGATATAGTATATACGCTTTCTATTAATAGACCTCATGTTATTACTTAAAGAATTACTAAAGATATGCTTCTTTAAACTCGATATACGTAATTAAGCGATGGCTATATTACTTTAATACTTATATTAAATATAATTCTTTCGCTACTTTATCTTAATAATAAGATTCTACTATAGCTCGATAAGTATATATTTAGTAATTTTATTAAATCGATTAGTATCTAGATAATTAATATACTTATTAATCTTCGTATTCTCTTTAAAGGCGAATAACTCTTTATATAGTCGAATTCTAAAGTTTCTATATTATCTCTTCTTTTAATAAAAGTCTATATAACTCTTAATCTTAAAGCTATTAATAATACTATAATCTAGTACTTAGTAGAAGATTGGTTACTAGTTTCTTATAGTCTTTCTCTAAGTCTTATACGTCTAGCGATATTAATTAATAATATCTACGAAGCTTATATTATAGTTATAATTATTAATATAATATAGAATCTTAAGTACCGTTCGAGGCTATCTATTAAATAGCTCTCTTATAATCTTTATATTAATAAAGATAAGATCTAGTCTTTTTCGCTATTTCTTAATAATATTACTCGCTTTATTTATTATATATATCGTAAATAGCGAGAGTATCGTATTATTATCGATCTAGTCTAGATATAATACGTCGTCTATCGATATAGTTACGAGCGTCTTCTAGAGTAGCTTATAATTTCATTTTTCTCTTATAACCTATAGAATAGCTGGAAAATCGACGCTATTATTTACACGAGTCGTTTTATATACTTTAATACCTATAATACGTAGCTTATGAAATAACGAGATTAATATAAAGAGGTTATCGAGGTAAAGAGTATATATTTTATCGAAGAATAGAGGAGATAGTATAAGCGTAAGCTAATATACTATAGATTCGATAGCTATTAGCGTTTCACGTGATTTTAGCTCGTTAATCTTTAAAGTACGCGAGTAGTATATAAAGTTATATATATATCTAGCCTTATAGAGAGTCTAAAATTTATACCCTCGTTTAATAGGCTTATTCTTTATATTAACGATATATTTTAATTATTCGAAAAATCGTATTATTATCTCATCGATAGCGATATTACTATCGGGCCTCTAGTACTTTTAATAGTAATTTCTAAAAGAAGTTAAAAGAGGCTCTATTTTATATTACTACTAAAGCTTCTAAGACTTTAATTCTTACTTGGTTATTACTTTTATCTCTTCTTCTATAAACTTCGTAAACGTATTATCGCTTAAAGGGCTAATATGAAAAAATCGCTATAATTAAGTAAATCTATTTTTAAGTTATAAATAACTATAGAATATATACGAGTCTAAGAGATAGATTAATATAATTAACTATCTTACTATAATAAGAGAATATATATTATAAAATATATCCTTATTTTAATACTCTACGATCTCGCCTTTCTAATAAATATTTATATAAACGAGATACTCTATAAATATCTTGATTTCGACTATATTAGTAATCTACTAAGCTCGCTAATTTATATTATTTTCTAGAAGCTTCGATTTAATAGAGTCTTATCCTCATAATATAGTAAGCTACTATAGAGTATATATATTAGTATTTCGTGTAATAATCTTAAATATCTCTTTAGTAAAGAATAGCGAGAATAAGGCGAGTGAACTATTCTAATTAAGATCCGCTAAGATTTAAGACTTCGAATTACGCTTTAATCTTTTTTAAAAGTATTAAATATAGTTATAGAAAATTTAGCTATAGTAGTAGCAATAGCGTCATTTTCTTTAATAGCATCGAGTCGCGATTTCTCGATCTTTGCTTATTCTTTTTTGAGCTTTCTTTCTTTTACTAAAACCGCTTTTCTCTTAATCTTAATAATCTTATAATTATCGTTATCTTTACTACTATAATCGATTATTTATGTAAAAGTAATAGTATTTACAGTAGCATTTAAAGTCTTCTCTGCGATATTATTAGAGATTACTTTAACGACCTAATTAATAAAAATAATAACTATTATATTAATCTCTTTCTTCTTTATAGCCGTCTTATTTACTTTACTTAAGGCTTTTTATGAGGTTTTCTTATAGTAGGCTTCTTCTTTAATATACCCGAGTATTCTTTATCTCTTTTCTCTTCTTCGTTAATACTATAAAGGCTGAGTTAAAGCTTCTAAGACTCGATATTAGCTTTCTTATAAGCGGTATTAACTATATATTTCAAGTTATTATAAAGAGTATCGAACTTCTTAATAGCGACGATATCGATAGATAAGAGGATATACTTCTACAGCTCGTCTCTAATAAGTCCTTTTTTATATTTTTAAGCAATTAACCTTCTAACTCTTTTGGAAGATCGTCGCGTAGGCTTCGATATTCTACTATTAATTTTAGACGTATTTAATAATATAATAACTTCTCTTTTAGGCCCTCGTTCGATAGTATAAGTAGATTTGCCTCTTAGAGATTCGTAATTAACTAGTACTTTAAAGGTCTAACTTTCTTTATATATAATATTATCTAATCTTACTCGCTCTAAGAAAGTATATATAGTATTATTATTATACTTCTTATATGCTATTAACGATATTAAAGGCAAATTAATTACGCGTATCTAAATAGAAGATTTATAAAAGGTTTTAATAGATAAAGAGCTCGAATTTGACGAAATTTTAGTATAGCGAGAAATAAGTTAATGGCGTAATCGATGTGAGCGATATAGCCTATTCCTTCGACCCAGTTTTGGTATATTTTTTATATATAGAGGGTGGTTGATATATAGACAGCTACTCTTCTAATTTGGGGGCGCAAATCTTCTCCGCGCAAAGTGGCGAAAAATGATGCCAAGACGGCCGGAACTACTTTGATCCCCCTACTAGCGTGGTCCCCCGGACTTAAGGAAGGGGATACACCGAGGCAAAAGGCAACAGCGCGGAAAAATCATGTTTGGCATGGCGAGTTGCAGCAGCCAGATAAAGTCAAAGTCCGCAGTGGTCTACATCTTCTAAATAATGCAAGATAGCGTGGGACTTTCTGAAGCCAATGCACCGAGATGAAGCGGGGCGCTAAGAACGTTTTGCAGCTTCGATCGAAAATTGAGTATGTCCAAATAGATGCAAACCTCGACCGTGGAGAATGACCAGCGGCGGTATCTAGAGACCTGCCAAACGCATCAATGAGTCAACATGGGAAGTTTACTGGGATCTTCTGTATGCATCTTATCATTTCGCCACCAACCATCTATTGAGATGGGGCTTTATTGACAAATCTAAGGATTTAGCGCTGTGAAAAAAAGTCTGTTGCAAAAGTACGGTCCCCAGTTGTTATTTGGGTCAGCAAAGGCGCTTCTGGTCAGTTTTTGAATCTGAACTCGATTACCACTAAGTAGTATTCCCCAATATCACTGCCGAAATCGGAGCATACCTCGGCGTCAAATTAAGCGCGGAAAGCGCGCCTTGGCGGAAAGAAGGCTTCCCCCCCACCCCCCACACCGGCAGCGAGTATCAACAAGTTTCACAGCGACCAAGACCCGCTGATCCGTGTTATCAGTCGGTTGTACAGCTTGTGACATTATTTTGGGCTTTGCTCAGTCCTCACCAAGTCTGCACTGCTACCATGTCTGCCTCCCTCCCCGGAAACCGTGACCTTCCCGCCTCCCAGTACAACCTCAATACCTACTGGGGCCGAGTACAGCAATCCGCCGAAATAGCGGATCCCAGGTGAGATCTTGCTCGGGACCGCCTCACCAGACTTTTGGTGTGGTAGGTATACCGTAATGGCGTCCAGACCTTCGACAGAGAGGCTAATGGTGGGAGCCCCACAGAACCCTCTTCGTCTCCTCTTCCGGTCTTGAGAATGCAAAAAAACTCGTCTCCTCGTACAAGCAGGGCCAGGCAAACTCCATGACCCCAGAGATATGGAGGGCCAAGAAGATAGTCGACTCTACGCTGCACCCTGGTAGGACGCTACTGTTGCACAACCGTCTTCAACGGCTGACAGCTTAGACACCGGACAGCCCGTCTTCCTCCCCTTCCGCATGTCCTGCTTCGTCATCTCCAACCTGATAGTGACTGCTGGTATGCTCACGCCTGGCCTCCAAGTACAGCTACCCTCAGTCCATCCCCAGAACCTCGCTGACCGATCACAGACAACAGGCACTCTCCTTTGGCAAATAACCAACCAATCTCTCAACGTTGGCATCAACAGCGCCAATGCCAATAAGTCCACTCCCCTCTCGACATCTACAATAGCAAAGTCGTACTTTTTCGCCGTCTCCGCTTCTTGCTCCGTAGCTCTTGGCCTCAACGCAATCGTGCCCCGCCTCAAACGCCTATCACCTGCGGCGAAGACCAGTCTGACCCGACTAGTGCCCTTTGCGGCTGTCGCTTCAGCTGGCGCCCTTAATGTGTTCCTGATGCGAGGGGAGGAAATCCGCCAAGGAATCGATGTTTTCCCTACCTTGAGCGAGGAAGAGAAAGCGCAGAAAGAGAAGGATGGCTCACAAGTGCGAAGTCTTGGCAAAAGCAAGAAAGCTGCTACACTGGCGGTTGGAGAGACAGCTCTGAGCAGAGTGCTCAACTCCACGCCCATCATGGTGCTGCCGCCTTTGATCTTGGTACGGTTACAGCAGACAGAATGGCTGAAGCGGAGACCGAAGATGACGCTGCCTGTGAATCTAGGTATGCGGCACTGTCTACCGATCAGAAACCTATGACTAATACAGAAACAGGCCTGATCTTCACAACTTCCATCTTTGCCCTCCCTCTCGCTTTGGCCGCTTTTCCCCAAAGACAGGCAGTTTCGGCGAAGTCTCTGGAAGAGCAGTTCTGGGAAAAAGGTGGCAAAGATGGGAAGGTGGAATTCAATCGAGGAATATAGACGTACTTTTCGCCCTCGATGCTATGTACATAGACGCAGGTTGAGCAGATTTACATACAATGTTGGGTGAGATTTCCATTCATACGCCATTTTTGTGATTGAATAACCACTGGAGCCCAGCCAGTCCAGTCAGTCATTCATAACATTTGAAAAACTTCTGCTGCTCCAGTGCCCTGACCATTTTCCTTCTCGGCGTTCCCAGGCCCCGTCTCTCCCTTTCTGAGCCGTCTCAAAGGCTCTGTCCTTCCCGTTCCGCAACCTCAAGCTCCGCCTTAGCTTCCGCGTCATCACTCTTCCCACTCGCGTGATCACATCAAGCCCTTGACAAGATACCCCACGTCCGTCTCATTAGGAGTCCACTGGCGTTTCCCTCCACCTCTTTCTCTCCAGCCGTCGCCCCCACTATTGTCTCAGGTCAGGATCGACCGTCTTCAATAGCAGTGAAGACGCCGCCTGTGAAGATGGCTAGCTCGGTGAAGAGTGGCAGCTCACGAACATACCAGGAGTTGTAGCTGTGATGTTTTCGGCTGGAGTAGCCTGTCCAAGCTTTACAAGGGCAAGAGTGGCCAGAGTGAAGGAGTCGGAGAGCTCCATGATAAGGGTAGCTGGTATTCTGGCGAGTTGTCGGCGGAAGAAACCAACGGCGTAGACGCGAAGGACCGGTTTGGGAAAAGGATTCGCATGCTCTTGAGCTTGTTGGAAATGGCGAGGGGTCTTTAATTGGTTCAGTGCCTAGGGTGTGTACTGATTGAAATCATCTTCTCGGAAAAAGTGCGCGTTCTATCTCAACGACGGTCCCTATCCTTCACATCTTACTAGGAGATGTTTTTGCAATCCATCCTCTGTTGGCTTCGAAGGGGCAGGTGCTCCGCCAAGCTCGAGGTTTACTCCAAGGAAAGCCTAGATCGCTGACAGCAGTGGAGAAATTATCCTCTTTTGTTTGGCTTCCCTTTTCATGTCAAGCCAAGCAATGCCATGCACGCGTAGGAACTAAGACCAAACTGTCATCTCCTACACGGTTCTGGGGAGTGGCGATTCGCTCAAGCTTGCCATACGATTGAGCAAAGATTTGGCGAGAACGAGCTTGAACGAACGAGGTTCTAGGGAGGAAAACAAGTTGCTGTCATCTGCGGACTCAAGGATTTGTGGAGACGATGGACAACTTTGGTGATACCTCTAACACTGTCTCTGCACCTATGATCAACATTTACGTCGCAGCGCAACCGAACTTATCTCAAGCCCCAGAATTGAATACCTTGCACCCATATTGACTTCAATGCATGCCAATTCTGCGGGGACATCCCGACTGACAGAATTAGAATTATTGTCAAATTCAAAGACCACCGATGTAAAAGACTGACGTTATTACTTGATTTTCTCTAATTCTTATCCCAATGGTGTTCTTCCCAAAGCTGCCAAAATATGGGCCCAGAAGCTGATTAGAGATTCATTCAAGGCTTTCAGGAAGCTCCAGTCTCCTTCCGTTTCATCGTCGAGAATGTCGTGCAGTCCTTCCGCCTCATTGATACGGGAGATGTTGTTGGATAATCTATCCCAGGAATAATGGTCCATGAGAATTCTAGATGAGAAACAAAGGCTTGTCATCTGGGTAAGCCTCCCAGTATAGGAGTCGTGACGGAGATTTGATTACTTGTGTTTGGGAGACATGGCGGGAATGTGACTTTTCGTCGACCTGTTGGTCCGTCCCACGGGCACTCTTTCCTCAGTATTCCTCTTCTCACCTCCATATACCGGAAGAGTGTCGATTCCAGTATTCTCCGATCTGTACAGGAGATCTCTTTGTCTATCTTATTAGACCAACCGCTCGGAACATTGTTGTTAGCGACATCGTTTGGACCACGATATTCAGGGAGAAGAATGAGAGGTGTGACCTTCAGATCCTCGCAAGTGCCGAGGACAAAAAGAATATTACGAAGATTCGATGGCCCATCAATGTGGAGAACTTGATGAGCAATCTCGTAGAAGAGATAAAATTCCTGCCCACATTCCATCAGAAACTCTGAACTTCCGCTACTCCCATCGCTCGCAAGGATTAGGACAAGAAGATGTATGCCGTGTTCTCGTCCTGACACCGTTTCTTTGAGGTCTTCTAGCTCTTGTACGTCTTGTAATCAGCGGTGAGGAACTTGCCAGAACCATAGAGGAAGGTATATAATTTGTTGCTGATTGTACTGCAGAGCAAATGGTTCGAGGGACGTGGTGTGTAGCTCGTGCTGGTCGTCATCGATGCGCTGCAGGACGCTTTCCAAGTAATACATTCTGTCACATAGAGGATTTCATACGCCAAAGGTATCCAGAAGTAGAACTTTCCAAAATCAGAGATGAGATAGCGCCGAGGAGTAGTAGTTGCGTCCGAGACCAGAATTGGTAATGCTGGTGGGTCTAGAGTGTACCCGCGAAAAGACGTGCCACTGATGCTCTCGAGTTGATGTAGATCATTCGACCAACTCTTATGGACATGGTTCATTTTAAATTCTTCGGTAGCCAGATCTGTACCCGCTCTATTGTGGTCAGTGTGATCTAATCGAGCTAAATAAAAAGCAGTACTCACAGCCTCTGCAACTGCGTAGGATTTCCGCTCGTCGTCTTGAGAGGTCGACTGCTCCCAGGCCGCCGCACTATGCTCGGAGGATAATAATCGACTCGATGAACTCGAGCTCCCATCCGACGCAGACCGAGTATTCTTAGTCCATAATTTTGGAGTAAATATGCCCGAAGACCCACTAGGAATCCCGGGCATGAGACAACCTGGAAGTCACATCAACGTGGGCGTCATTGTAGAGATGTTTAGTCTTGGGAGTCGTATCAGCATGATCGAGGTCGCTAACGATCTGCGGCTTTGAATGATCAGATCATGCACGCACGAAGTAAGGGCCATGCTTCCTCCAAATCAACGGCTACTTACCGGTGACATGGCGCTAAAAGTCTCGTGAAATGGCAACAGCTCGTTGAGTGCGCGTCGAATAGCTTTTGGCGGCAAGGGTTCCTGGCGGCTTGAGTTTTGTGGTACCTGAAAAATCGGTAGAAGTGCAATACCAAGTAGGCTTGGAACCCAAAGAAGCTGAATAGCGGCGGCCGTGTCCACCCGTGAGAGACAAGACTGGCTTTTCGTGTAGTACAGTGGAACCAGTCACCAAGAATATTTTCTCGGTTCCAGCGTGGAAGATAGAAGGTAGATCCAACAGCGACATCGGCATCTTAGCCCGGGAATTAGGTGGAATGTGTCATTTTGAATAGAATTTGTTCTTTTGGGTGAAGTGAGAGGGCGATGACTCTGTTCCCAACGATTCATGATGGCACAGTGGCACCAATCACGGTAAGACAAAGTGGGATCATAGCTGTGTCGAAGATGGAAGGCCGAGGGTGCAAATACTTTAGAGTGAAAGTTGCAGTGTTGGGTGTGTGCCCCGAAATTGTTGACGTTTATTCATTACCTATTTCCGATGTGGCCTTTCGTTCCTTCGAAATGAGCTTCCCCTTCCTTCTGAACGCCAGGCTTTTAAAGCGCCTATGTGGCTTCGAATCCTTTTCCGGCGCGCTAAGACGCGAGCAGCAGCCCTATCTACAACCAATGCGAACCGGTAACAGTAACAACTCGAAGCTGCGGGAAGAACGCGGAAGCCTTCGCAGCACAGGAACAAGGGCGTTAGAAGATGTGTTGAATATTCCAGCCTCGATCAAATATTAGGGTCGTGGTGCTTAGTGAACCTGCATCTGCTGTGAGTATCTCAAAGGTTAAGGGGAATGTTGGAGTGGAAACATTGAGAAACGGAATATGTAGACAATGTTACTCGAGAACTTCCCGTTTGGACTTTGAGTGGGAGCATTTCCATTCAAGGGGAAGAAGCCCGCATGGCTCGCTTCTTCGCAGCTTAGATAAAGCATTCAAGCCAGAAGACATTTGAACGGGATATTCGAAAACTTGATGTAGTCACGCCGTGCAGCTTTCTTTCAGTGTAGTACTTTCCAACTATCAAAAAGCCATGCTTCCAAGTCTATCGCCTTTTGGCATGCTTTCCCGTGACTACTGTTTTATCGCTCGGTAGCAGTAGCAGTCCTCGGGTCCATAGGTCGTGAAGAAATCAATAGCCCAATCCATGTTACCAGCTAGGATAATGAGCGAAGTCAACGTGACGTTTGACATAATTCGTAGCAAAAGGAAGGTAAGACGAGGAATGCCCAATCAAATTTTGTTCCTCTCTCGTCTTGTAAGACTCGGCTGCGTAAATGATACTAGATCCAACCTCGAGTTGTGAAACGCCATTGATCTCTTGTATGATGTATGGCTTGGGGCTCCTGTCACATCACAGAGAACCCGTAGGTTCCCCGGTTCCATGCTTCTCTGCATGAGTCACTGCAATGATTTTCGAGGGCCATCGGTTCTCCCGAGTCTAAGTACTTGGGACGGATCCTTTAAGACTCGAAGGATGCTATCCATGCCCATCGCTGCGCTCACGCGATGAATATCATTAGATTTCTTATCTCCGAGGATAAAAATCTCCGCCAGACTGGAAGACGGACTTCGATTTTCCATCGGTGGAACAAATAGATTAAAGCATAGGTGTTGGAGGCGCTAGCCTGTGCGTTTTCCGCGGCATTGCATTGCAAGCATCGGATTTGACGACCGCACCCAGCCGCGAGGCATCTCATCATCCGCGATTCTGTATTACTCTCTCCCCGGTAACCATTCAAGAAGCGTAAGCTTCAGCTCTAGTGACGCATGTGTTAAGACCGCGAGAATGTCAGGCAAGCCTTCTGTCCCATCGATACGATAGATTGCGTCGAAGGAAGGCCTCCAAAGATAATAAGTAGGGGTTTTCAGAGTAACTTTTTCCCGCGTTCTGGTGGCGAATCACTGAAACTCTGAAACTCCGACGATTCCATCTCCGAGAATAACCGCCAAAAAAGTACGGTTATTGTGGAATATTCAAATATTCGAACATTCGGACATTCGTAGACACTTCACGTGACTATTTCAG